ATGACAATATGGACAAACGATTTTACGACGCTCGATATTTCCCCGTCATTCATTATAATGCTTATATTTTGAATTATGATTCACTTACGTCATTATATCGCGGCGAATTGAATTTGTTCCGACATGTTAGGCAGAGTGTATCGAAAATTACATGCACATTTTTTAATAACGTAATTCCACGCACGTCTCGGCAAAATTGTAACAATAACATCATCTGTTATCAATGTCTGTATCAATTAAAGACGGACATGCAAATGAGTTAGGGATTGTTAAGTAAAGACATATGCGATATATTTTATACAGGATGCTTTAGAAAAAAGAAAGTTTTTCTTGCATTATTCATTATACTGTCGAAATGAAAAATGGATCTCAATGTAAATTTTATTTTCAGGTTTTAATAAAATTATAACATTAAGCACTTTAAATGTATCAATGGATAAGAAAATTATATAATATTATTTTAATATTATTTTAAGATTACTTTAACACAGATTAACTAAAATTGATGTGAAAAATTAAGCAATTCTGGATGATGAGAGAGGTGTCAAATTTCTATAAAGGATTATTTAAATTTAAAGAATCAAAAGAAATTTCTAAGACATTCTATGTAATTATTATACTAAATATTGTGCATATTCAATAAGATTAAACGTTTATGTCTTTCGTATCTTAATAATTTATTTTAATTTTAATATTTTGTTGGAATAATTTCCAATCACTGTATTTTATTGCAGCAATAAAAAATCTAAAAAATAACATATGCATTTACACAATAATGTCACTTTATATTTTAGAAATAAAAGCGTTGTTATACATTTGAATTTCATATATACTATTGCATTATTTTGTTAGCGATATCTGAATAATGTAATCGTATTTTACTTGAACATAGAATTTTCATAAAAATTTTAATTTTCCTTCTCTCCTTTAATATAGAAGAAAATTTAATATAAATAAATCTTAATATGAAAATAAGTCGTCAGATAATTTCACATAAATAGATTTTATCATAAAATGCCAAAATTAATCTATTCTGTACTTTAGCTGATTATTGCTGGCAAAACGAAGAATTGCAGATTAAAGCAAAAAAATCGAGCTCATAATCGGCTCAATGAGAGAACCCAATTTATCGTCTACGACTCTACTTATGACGATATATGAGATTTCTTACGTTTCAAATAAAAACCACTTTTACAAATTGGACACGCTTCTCATGCATTTTTAACGCTGCTATTTTTCACATAACTTTTAATAAAGAAACAATCAAACTGTTCAATCTAACCGATTGGAATAAATTGTATTTCTGCCATTCAATGGAATGGTTATTCAGAAAGAATTCAAATACCGACACCATATTTTTTGTAAAGGATATATATCTTTTTGCATTCTAGAGAGCTTGCAGCATTATCATGTATTACTTTTTTAAAAATAATATTCGCGTTAAAATATTCAACAAAAAGAAAAAAAGAAAGTTCTTTTTTTTTTAATTAATCATCAATATCTTGGAAATCTTAATAAAAAACGTGCATAGTGAAAGAAAGGATCTCGCTAGATAAATTTCAATTTAGTTGCTCACAAAATTAAAGGCGATTCGGTAATACGTCATGTATTGCGTTTTTTCCGCTACGTGTCGAAATGCGTCTATGAGGAAGGAATCGGATGTAAATCAAACTCAGATAGCCGTGAAACGAGACTTTAGACGAGACGAGGTCAGAGACGGAATCCTCTGGAAATAAAATTACGTCTTCGATCGTGCGTAAATGAATTTACCGCTATTCCGTCTATCGCTTCTTTCTTGACAAGTCCCTGCCTAATCAGATAAATTGCGAGTAATTCAGTATATGATGCGTTTGCTTTATTGCTATATACTTATTTAAGAATATGAAATATAAAATTTTATATATATATATATATATATATATATATATATATTAGATAGATGTACGTTATAATTTTTAAATATTATTAAAAATATCTTGCAATTTTTTAATTTAATTTTCTCAAAAATGGAAAGTTTCAAATAAAAAGAACTTTTATTTTATCTTTTTCTTCCAAAAGCAAAGTTACATCTTTTTTTGTAATATTTCAAATCTTTATCTTTATAATTTATAAAGATTATATGAATTTTCACGTAACTTAATAACATCTAATCATAACTTATTTAAATTTAATACATCGAGATGCTATATTAAATTAATATAAGATATATTTGATGGTGATTAACTTCCATTCCTCCAGTGGAAACAAAAAAATAGTCGCATTAAAAGTCAATGACTGTATCGACGATGTATTTCCTATTCAATTAACGAATTGTCAAGAGAAAGAATTATTAGAAAAAAAACTGGGAGCAATTAAAAACCAGAAAAAATCTCACAGAGTGTTCCTCGGTTACCGGTCTTGTCGATCCGGTAATCGCATTAGGGACAGTAATTACGACACCGCCCGTAGTAACATGAAACCCGTAGGTCGGGTAAAGTACTGGACAGGGTTATGCAGATTGCTTTATAACCTTGTTACCGATCACTCTATTAACCTTACGAGGTTGCAATCCCAACCCTTCTACTGGCTGTTCCTGTTTCAGCCAGGCGACAACGAGAGACGCGATGAGAGTATCATCTTTTCATCTCTCGAGTTTGCGACGTTCAACCCCTTATGATTCTCCGAGGCCTCCTATTTTATTTGCTTTAAATCATCATCTTCGTAAATTTCACGATTTACGACAAATAGGTAGAATTGTTAGCGCGTTTAACGATGAGAGAAATGGCGATTGCTATCAGGGATTGGATGTTCAATTTCGAACTTGAACGCGTCGAGAAGATATAGAAGATTTTCCGACGAAATGACAGAGTCGGAGAAACAACAGCCTCCGGGAAAATGATTCTTACTCCCGGTAATTTGCGCGAGAATCCGTACCTTTTGCAATTCACCCTTCGCCGACCCTCTCGATTCGACTGCGCTTTGACGCGAACTCACCGAGAAAGATCAGTGCGAGAGACTGCAGATGACACGTGGAAATGAGGGCATTTGTTCTATGGCCGTGGATCACGATCAGGAAATCCGGTATTACGTGACTAAGGGACAGCAGAAGTGCTCCGGACACCTCGGTAACGAGTCTGAAGACTCCGCAAACGAATCTGGCAGGTGAATAATACAGCCTAACACGTTGATGTAGTGGTCATAGATGACCGATGCTATTGACGTGTATCTCATCAATTTACGTATAAATCAGGTGCGATCAATTCTATAATTTTTTATTATTTTTCTTGAAAGTCACGACTTTAAATGGACTTTATTCATCAAAAATCAGCTGACACATAACTAAAAATGAACATACTATATAATTTTATGATATTCTTATATAATGTATCTATTATATTATTCATTTTAATTATATATTCTCATTAATTTGTATATTTTACCAGAAATTCTTCAATATGCATTTTTTCAATATGCATTCTTCTTTTATTTTAAATAAAAAGAGAAATTTAAAGCTTTTGTGGAAATAAATTTGTGAAAAATCAAATTTTATTCATTCAACCTGCGAAAATGATTAATTATATATGTAAATAAATTAGCATGTTATTAATAACTTATGATCGAACTTATGGCACAGTGCCATAGCTATATAAAACATTTATTAATTACAATCGGTCAACAAAATATCTATGTTTTAATTAGTAATTTGTATATTCGCTCATTTAGATATATTATATTTGTTAAGTGATTTAAACACAATTAATTATTAATTAATATTTAATAAAAATTACTCTTACATGGCCATTTAAATCTTTACGGTTTTAAGTAAAATAGATCGTGTAAATGAAGCATAATATTTACAATAGAGGAGCAATTATTATCAATAAAAATCTTTGTAACGCCTCAAAGAGTAGAAAATTCCAAGATTTCGTAACTTTTTTTCCGCGCGAAAATCTTTAATTTTCTTACATCTAGTGTGTTAAAGGATAGTAATTCTTTCGTGCTTGCTAGCGCGTTACGTTAAGTGATAAAGCGACGCGTCGACGGTTATACTGAATCGAGCGAAAGAATACTTCATCCAATAAATCGCGGCATAAACCGTAAATCGCGGCATCGTATATGTCATGATTAAATCTACTCTGGTACAGATGGTCTGCGTCGCGCGAGAGGAAATAAACACGAAGAAAAAAAATATGTCAAACAAATAAATGAAATTATTTTCGAACACCAATCATCCAATCGTTTCCTTGTCAAAAGACAAAAGTCTTTATTTATACTCTTTTGTTATATTTTTTTAGCTTTGTCAATAATTTCAGAGGGGAACACAAATCTGTCTCTGATTTTGCTCGAGAGAAGTAATATAGGGATTCTATATATTATTTTTTTATCGATATATAATCTCGAGTTTGTCAATTCTACGTCAAAAGGACGTGTAAATGTATAGTGTTTGAAGCAACATATTATATAACATTTTGGTCTTTTATCACAAAAGATGTTAAAAGTGACACTCACGAGCGTGCAAATTAATCTTAAATTATTTTTTAATACAAAAGACCAATAATTATTCTCGATCATGCGTTTTCAATTTTAAGTCAAATTATTATACTTGATCTTTTATTATTATTTTTTTGGATTGTAACAACTTTTTGCATCTTACTCCAACGCTTGTGATTATTAGCCTTTTGTATTAAAAAATTATTTATGATTATTATCATTTATATCACATTATATATATATATATATATATATATATATATATATATTATATCACATTATATATATATATATATATATATATATATATAGATATTTTTTTTTTAATTTATTAATCTTAAATTAATTAACCTCTAATCTCGTGTTATCGAAAACCTAATTCTCGATACGTTCGATAATAAACCTCTGGAGGATTTTCCTAACATTTGATAAACATTATTGTGACGGCTGCTTTTCCGAGAAAACACACTGTACATGTTCCGCACATTTATTCTATTTCTACTGTATTTGCTATATACTTGTTTACTCACCGGTGTCGCTCGGTCCTGCCGGTGGAGCGAGCGTTCTCCGATCCTGAATCGCTATCGTTGCTAGCCGTCGAGGTCGCGGCCCGGCTGACGAGGCTGAGGAGTGATGGGGCACCCCGATGGTAATTGTGCGGACGATCGAGAGCGATAAGGGCGCATCTCACCTCGTTCGTGCCGGCTCGGAGCCGTCGCTCTCTCTGCCTACCACCGTCTGCGTCTCCCGTGCTTCTTCGACGTCCTCTTCTTGATCCATGAAAAGATCCAGAAGCCCCCAGCCACCGGCAGGGCGCATGGTCACTGCGTGCTTTTCGCCCCTTCGCGTCCCTTCCTCCCTCTCCCCCTTCCTTTTCCCTCCCACCACTGGCATTTTGTATATACGTCTCTCTTACACACATGCGCGTACAATACAAAGAGCGTGTCACCCGCCCATTCGCACCCACGCGAACACGCATAACGCTCTCTTCTCGGGCTCTCTTTTTTAGGAGAGATCTCCCTGTTTTTTATTCTCCTCTTTGACCAAAATAATAACTGAATTTACGTATATTCATCTTGTGTCCTTGTGGCCGCTGATGTTTTTCATGTTCACTCCCCACTCAGTCAGGGTGAGAGAGATCCTCTCCTTCGCGCGAACATTATTCTGGTCATTCGTCTCCCTCCATCGAGGTGACTGTCGACGCCCCCCGAGCTATTGTCTCTATATCATCCAGTCTCTCTCTCTCCACCTCTTTTTAAATCTGTCAGTTTTCAATGGAATTGACATTACCTATATGCAGCTTTCCATTCTTCCCTCTTTTCGTATCAGTATGGACCATGGATTCGACTTTATAGCCGTTACTTCGTCATCGAAATGATTTACGATGCTGCGTGAAAATAATTTTAAAAATAACTCGCTTTCTCCCCTTGTCAAAGATATAACGAATTGAAATCCCCCGAAAAACGCTTAATAATTTCAGATGTAAACTTATTCTCAAGCTTTGTCGAGTACAATCGTTTCGAAAGCATGTAAAAAAATGGAAACTTATAATTTTAATCTCAATCGAATATGCCAACGTAATTAAGATTCCCCCCTCGACTTTAACCATCTGCGAATGGCGCAAACTACGCGGAATTTACTTCGAGGCTACAAAGGAATGCGAAGATCGCGAAGAATTCTCTATATGAATCCTCAACGCCTCTTCTCAGGCGCTTTATTAAAACGACTATTATCACACATTCCAGAAACAAAGATAGCGCCGATATATCCCCATCGTTATTGCGTCGCGTATATTTTAATTGAATAAAGCCTTCAGCGATCTTAATTATCATAAAACGGAACGAATGTCCTTCCCGAGTGTTGCGAGTGTTGAGGCAGGCAAATAGACGAGTCATTTTCCCTTCGCTAGAAGGGGTTCTCCGGAAAGTCGTTCTCGTTGCCAGTTTGCCACCTGTGGAGTCGAACGAGAAAGCAATATAGAAATTCCAGGCAGGAAGCGGGTTCACTTGTTGATTTTAGGAAACTCCGGGGAAAACACACGAGGTGCAACTTGTTGCTAAAGGAACCGCCGCTAATCGGTTTTGGCCACGCGGTTTACACACGAATAGATGGATAATTAACAGGGAGATGAGGGAATCTAGAGATACCTTCGAGATTATTAAATAAATAGAGAATAACGAGAGCATTCCAAGGGTTAGGTTCCAAGGGATTTGAAATTGCCTAGGGTCAGCTTCGTCAGCAATCTTGGCTAATTATTTTTAATGATTCTAGGTTAACGCGGACAACTTGATTATTTATCGTTAATTATGATCCTTCGATAAATATCTTTTCGATATGACATATTATAATACGACTAATAATAAGTAAAAGCGATAATATTTTTTTAATTCATTTAGATTATTTTTATTGCTTATTTTTACATTTATTTTTTTGATTAGTGAATATATATATATGTGAGAGAAAATGAAACATGCGTTTACATTGTAAAGTACATTATATGATTTTTAATACCAAAAAGAGCTTGTGTACTTGCGAGTTTAAGAAAAAAATTATAGCCCCCCTAGGAGTTTATTCTACTTTGGGGTTTATTGACTTGATAATCTTGAAAAATCGAGACTTGATTTTACTTATTTTAATAGGACTTCATTATTACGATCTACAATTTCACAATTAATGACGAGGAGCAAACGACGATGTTCCTTACTCGTAACTTTTTTTTTCATAACCACATTTTGTCGATGGTAAAAGTTGCGTAACACTGTCAAAAATTTTTTGGAGAGACACGAAATAATAAAACTAGGTAGATCTTTTCGTCGTTGACTCAATCTTGTGACTGAATCTTATAATCGGCTATCATTTTGGTAAAACCTATATAATACAAAGTAAAAAAAGTTAAATTAATCTTATATTATAGTATAATATTAAATTAATTGTATAGAGATTTTAATATAATTATATTAAAATCTTAATATATAATTACATAACATTAAATGTTTAATACAAATATATTAGTATAGGCGGTAAAAGAACTTTTTAAATTAATAAAGTTCGCAAATTAAAAATCTATAAAATTTCGCATATTTTAAATCCATTAAATCCATCAATTTTTACAAAATGCAGGCGTATTAATTATTGATAATTTCCGATAGCTGGCGGGGTAAAATGTACGAGCGTCATCGCGCACAATAGGTGCCAAATAATGCATTGTGCGGAAATTGAGGAGCTGCGAAAGACTTGTCTCCTCGAGATCTACGTATATAGAGGGCGAGAAAACGCGTAATTGAATGATGCGCAACTCGGCTGCTCGATGAATAGAATTCAATGAGTCGACACTACCTGCAAATATACACGGGGACGTCGCGAGTTACGATCCGGACTCGGTGTGTCTCTCACCCCGAAGATCTTCGTCGGGAAGACAGTCGACGCGTCTTGTCGCGAATTTAATTCCCGCGACGAGACAGAGCGAGATTGGTCGGGTGGTTTCGTCCGCTCAAATATATTTCCTTCGTCGTCCATTTTAAAAAATCCCTGTCTCGCTCATCGAGTCCTGTCGTGTATCGTCAGAAGTTGTGTTGAAGAGATACGCCCAAAAGAAAATTGGAAAATGGAAACCTTCTCGTAGGGAACATCGTCGTTGCACTCCTCGAGATGCTCTTACGTAGAAATTATGATTTTATTCGAAGGGGACAGGGGCCCCGCTTAATTCGCTTCGGCCACATTGCGATTTTTTCGAGACAGTTTGCCTAATCGAGCGACGTTGCTCGTGGCAACTGGCGATCGATTTCGAAATACGTGCTATTTCGCGAGAAGCTTTAACCGTTCAATCGCGTCATCCCGCAAAATCATTAACTCTCCATCATGCTCCCTCTTCATTGGACAAGAGAAATTAAACGCGTGCATCAACGCAATTAGACATAAAGCGTAGCGCGTGTGAAATTATACATTTTTAATCCTTTCAGGTCACTTTTTAAAAAAACAAATAATAACATTTACTACAATACTAAATAATAACATTTTCTCAAGGATAATAAATTATTGGATGTTTAAATGTGTACGCTATTTCGTATAATTCTTCGTCATAGATGCTTTGAAAAGTATAATCAACCAAATTACAAATCATTTTAAGTGCTGCATAAATTTTTTTATTACACTGTAGGCTTTTGAAACACGTCACATTGAGAGAATCAACATTTCTTTGGATAATAATTAATTATTTACCGGCAATTATTCGATTTAATCTGAAGGAAAAGAAAAGGATCGAAATTCTTTTAGCAAGAAAGAAATTCGTTTTCGTACTCGATAGAGAGAAAGAGAGAGAGAGAGAGAGACAAGCCGCGGATCGTAAATTTTAATTTTTAATAATTAATTATTTACCGGCAATTATTAGAATTAATCCGAAGGAAAAGAAAAGGCTCGAAGCTCTTTTTTGAGCAAGAAAGAAATTCGTTTTAGTACTCGATAGAGAGAAAGAGAGAGAGAGAGAGAGACAAACCGTGGATCGTAAATTTTAATTTTTAATAATTAATTATTTACCGGCAATTATTCGATTTAATCTGAAGGAAAAGAAAAGGATCGAAACTCTTTTTTGAGCAAGAAAGAAATTCGTTTTAGTACTCGATAGAGAGAAAGAGAGAGAGACAAGCCGCGGATCGTAAATTTTAATTTTTAATAATTAATTATTTACTGGCAATTATTCGATTTAATCCGAAGGAAAAGAAAAGGCTCGAAGCTCTTTTTTGAGCAAGAAAGAAATTCGTTTTGTACTCGATAGAGAGAAAGAGAGAGAGAGAGACAAGCCGCGGATCGTAAATTTTAATTTTTAATAATTAATTATTTACCGGCAATTATTCGATTTAATCCGAAGGAAAAAAAAAAGGCTCGAAGCTCTTTTTTGAGCAAGAAAGAAATTCGTTTTAGTACTCGATAGAGAGAAAGAGAGAGAGAGACAAGCCGTGGATCGTAAATTTTAATTTTTAATAATTAATTATTTACTGGCAATTATTCGATTTAATCCGAAGGAAAAGAAAAGGCTCGAAGCTCTTTTTTGAGCAAGAAAGAAATTCGTTTTGTACTCGATAGAGAGAAAGAGAGAGAGAGAGACAAGCCGCGGATCGTAAATTTTAATTTTTAATAATTAATTATTTACCGGCAATTATTCGATTTAATCCGAAGGAAAAAAAAAAGGCTCGAAGCTCTTTTTTGAGCAAGAAAGAAATTCGTTTTAGTACTCGATAGAGAGAGAGAGAGAGAGACAAGCCGTGGATCGTAAATTTTAATTTTGAGCAAGAAAGAAATTCGTTTTGTATTCGATAGAGAGAAAGAGAGAGAGAGAGACAAGCCGCGGATCGTAAATTTTAATTTTTAATAATTAATTATTTACTGGCAATTATTCGATTTAATCCGAAGGAAAAGAAAAGGCTCGAAGCTCTTTTTTGAGCAAGAAAGAAATTCGTTTTGTACTCGATAGAAAGAAAGAGAGAGAGAGACAAGCCGCGGATCGTAAATTTTAATTTTTCAAGTGATAACAGGATAGCACATCCCACGCGCTGATGTCGATCCTTCGCTGGTTGGCGTCGATGGATTTCATTAACTCGAAGAGACCGCGTTTCGTTCAACATCGAACGAACGATGGTATGCGAAGATGACAACGTGCGCTCTCGCACGGCCGGGTATCGTCCTGGAAATCGTGGAATTTCTTTATTGTGCGCCACCGCATCGAGGGCTCCGGGTCTTCCTTAACCAACCGTTCCTCTCCTTCCTCCTCTTGCCTGAGCTTTTCCCCTTTTCATACCTCTCTCGCCCTCGGTGCCCCATCATCTTGCCCGCCACTTTCTCGTACGAGACGATGCCGTCACCGGCAGATGTTGCTCTCAAGACGCGCCGCTATAATTAATACGGAAGCGAACGTTTTGCTGGAAAACGCAATCGTAAGGTTAATTCAATTCGCGCGAAACGTAAGCGGCCCTTTACAAAAGGGCGCACCGAGGGAAGGGTGCGAAAATACTTTGCCCTTCATCGTTGGAGACGAAATGAAACCTGGATTGCGTTTTAACGCGCTGGAGTAGCCAATCTGGATGACATGCGTCTTCCTTTCTCGATATCTCTCGACGCAAGATCCGCGATCTAAGCGATGATATATCTCGGGATATAAAGTGTGACACGCGCCGCCAGATGAGAATTAAGAAAGCACGTTCTCCAGAACGTATCGCTCCTTTTTTTTCTATCCGATTACATTTATTCCATGCTCTTCATCTTTATTTATAATCCACGTTCGGACAGCGGCACTTTACGAAAAAGAATTGGATGGGATCCGGAATTGACCATCGGTCTTGGGAACACCCTTGCCGTTCTCATGAAAGGCAATGAGTTCGCAGGCGCAAAATTCTATGGCGAATCTACGAGCCTGTCGTTTATCTACCGCATCATTTCGCACAGTTTTTTCCCCTTCGTTTTCTTAACTTCTGCCCGCGCTTATGTTACTTATGTCCCTCAAGAGCCCCGCAATTCCATCTTTCTTCCATCCATCAAATTTTCGTACCGCAGATTCCGACGGCGACTTGGATATTTTAGTCCACATTCTTCTTCTACAACACGTTTAACATCAACTGTCTCCTGTTAACACACAGACTGTATAATATTTATTTATATCTTAAACTTGGCGCATATTTGATAAAAATACGCTAAAAACTGTTTAAACTCTATTTAATTATAAAAATTAAACATCTGTTTATCTTATATTTTTTTACATAAGCATATGTGTCAGTCAAAGTGTTATTGAGGTATACTTATATCGTAAATATAGTTTTGTTCAAAAGGCGCAAGTGTGTCTTGACAAAGCTGCGCTTATTGGCCGAAAAGTAAAGAAGCCACGTTTCTGCGAGAAGTTGCTAGGCTCGCTTGTTAGTGCAGTAATATCGAAGAAATTCTATTGCCCTCGCTATCGACTATCACGTCTTTCTCTTCTTGTCGGTCCATAAATATCGTTTGCTCGGGAGAGACGCTCCTTTTTATAGATGCGTTTAATATATTTCGAGTGGTATATTTGAAACTAAAAGCAACCACAGTAATTGATCCAAGTGTCCTTTAGAGAGATTTGTTTTGAATTTCACGTTTGATTTCGTAATTCGTACACGCACATATGAGATACGCAGACGTTCTTTCGTAGGGTGAACAGCGCTCTGTTAACCGTATTTCTCGTGATGCGGCAGGGTAACTCCCGACACGTACGTGCCGGGGGTGCAACGAAAAGAGAAAATGATCGATGCTCGACTTAAGCCAAGAGTTACATCGAAAGCCTTTCTCTCTCCGACATTTCCTTCGGATTAGTTTCCGCGAAGGTTAACGCCTGCCTCGTTACTTTAAGCAATCGTAACGGAGCTGCGGAGAGAGTGTTTCCGCAGCTAAATCTTCCCACGTTGTCAACACTACGAGCGCCAGTATTCAGAGCTAATCCACGAAAAAGCCTGTCGTATCCAGGATAAGTTCTTCGTCTTTCCACGTTTAATTTTCTCTAATGACGTGCAGCAATCAAGCATCGCGATTATCAGAGTATACAGATATAGTAATTATAACAGATATAGTAATTATAAATGTTATCCATTTTTTTCTTCATAGTTCAATCCATTGTGTACACTGAAGTATTCTTTCGTAAATATCTAGGAGAAGATTGCGATAAAAAGATTGCATTTCTTTGTAATTTTCGTTTACTCGTTCAATTTATGTACAAATCCACGAAAAATCTGGTTGTATCCAGGATGAGGGCTCCATCTTTCGCCACGTTTAATTTTCTCTAATGACATGCAGCAATCAAGCATCGCGATTATTACGATACAGATATAGTAATTATAAATGTTATCAATTTTTTTCTTCACAGTTCAATCCATTGTATACACTGAAGTATTCTTTCGTAAATATCTAGGAGAAGATTGCGATAAAAAGGTTGCATTTAAAAAATTTTTGTTTACTTATTAATTTATGTACAAATGCACGAAAAAACTGGTGTATCCAGGATGAGTTCTCCATCTTTCGCCACGTTTAATTTTCTCTAATGACATGCAGCAATCAAGCATCGCGATTATTACGATACAGATATAGTAATTATAAATGTTATCCATTTTTTTCTTCACAGTTCAATCCATTGTGTACACTGAAGTATTCTTTCGTAAATATCTAGGAAAAAATCGCGATGAAAAGGTTGCATTTTAAAAATTTTTATTTACTTATTCAATTTATGTATAAATGCACGAAAAAACTGGCGTATCCAGGATGAGTTCTCCATCTTTCGCCACGTTTAATTTTCTCTAATGACGTACAGCAATCAAGGCAATTATTAGAGTATATATAATAATAATAAATGTTATTAATTTTTTTTTCTTCGGTTTAATTCACTGTGTACTGAAGTATTCTTTTATAAATATCTAGAAGAAGATCGCGATAAAAAGATTGCTTTTTTTTGTAATTTTTGTTTACTCTAAATAAGTTTAATTTATATACAAATAATATTATAATAATCATATAAATATTAACAATTTCATAGATTCTCTACGCAAAACAGTTCGTTCTCTAATGTTATTGATAAAATAACATCAATTCATGCTGCGTATCATGGTGAAGAAGGATGCTGCGGATGATATCATCTAAAATATGGCGTCTAATTATTTATGAAATGATCATGATTAGTAAATATAAGATACTTTTTGCGAATATAATATAAATATATGTACGTACGGACGCAAAGGTTTGCAAGGATAACGGTACGATATATCCGGCGGTCAACTGCGTTGGTTTCTGAGCTCTCATCGTGATAATATTTATAGATCTTTTCAGCTGGTACGAAAAGCGATACCATGATGTAAAGTACATCGCTCTTGCTACGTCTTGACTCTGAAACATAATTCAGTCGTACTATTATGTAAGTTTCAAGATGAATATAAATAAAAAACTGAGAAAAAAAATAAAACATAAACATTAAAATTAAAAAATATTACGAAAGTGTATTATGTTATGATGCACGTTATAGTGTTTTTTTAATACTTGCGAAAAGAAACATGTATTTTTCATCTTCGGATCATAATAACATATTCATATGATGTGTTTATTTATATTCCTGTAGCTGTTTGTATTTGCTTCTTTAGAAAATACGCCAATGAAAAGGAAGATTTTATTAGACTCTAAAATATTCTCTATATAACTTTTTCAAATTCTTAAAAATTAAAAAAAGAGTTGACGATAAAAATAGAAATATTCTTATGTTATAAATCGATTTTGGACATCGGCACTTGTACTGCATTGTGCTTCTTACTTTTTCAAATTACATTTTTCATTGGAATTATTATAATCTAGTTACATACTTCGGTGAGAAGAACATCCGCCGGCCAGTTACATAAAAACAATTGAATCATGGCAATTGACAATTGTGTTGTGTATTTAAATTTATCAGGATCTTCCTGTAATTAATATTTATCTTAACTAATTTATTTTTTTTTTTCAGATTCCCACAATTGATCAGAATAAAATAATAATGCATAACATCAACAGAATTTCGAAAGATTTTAAAAGCTAATAATACTTTTATATTTTATCTATATTATTTTATGTTGAACGTATCTTTCCTTTGTATGTTATTCAATTAAATTTTAAGATTGCTACATTTTAAGTGTTAATATGAAAAAGATTTATAAAAGTTTTTAAGAATTTTCCAAGTCACTTCAAATATATATAATTTGTTTTAGAACTAGAAATCATGGAAGTTAAGAAAAATTTATTCACGAAAGCAAAATGATTGATAATACGTAAAAAAAAAGATAATTTAAATTCCCTTACCCCTGCTAATTTAAATCCTACAAGAGAAACGTTGTACGTACTACCGACAAGCTGCGTTAAAAAGATGCCGTTGGTGAGTTTCTCAACTTCTTTGCAAAACCTGTTCGAACAACGCCAAACATTTATAGATTAGTCCAATTATTTATAAAAAGGGAAAGCGCTTTCGCGCAAATATAGTTCAAGACACATTAAAAAAATTTAATAGTCAATCAACCCCTTTATTTATCATCTAAATCATCCCTCTTACATACTCGAGTACCATTTGATGATAGTGTACACAGTTTTTGAGATCAGATTTCACACGATTTCTCGATACACCGCGCATTATTTCGAGAGAATCCGATGTCGGACACGAGCTTTTCGAATACGCTCGATCGCTCAGGCTCAAGATTCGCGAATTGAGGACCTTGAAGTGGCCGCAAACGGTCAGGATGAGCACCGGTCCGAGGGTATCCGCAGCGGCGCAGGTGAGACCGACGTTGATCATGCTACTCAATTGCAGAGCGTACATTATCTCGTAATAGGGTGTCCGATGAACCTGGACCGGACAAGCGTACGGCAAAGTCCTCGTCGTTGCGTTCGACGAATCGTCGTGCTGTCCCATAAAGAGACTCGCGACAGCGTAGAAGAAGATGGTGAAGGCGCATCCGAAAAGGTAGTAATAAGTCAGACTTCTCGTCGGTTTCACATAATCGCGCACGCATTTCCTCTCGGTCGCGTTCAACGTCGTCCAGAGTTCCTCGCAGATCGCGAGCAATCGCTGAAACCTGCTACGGGACAGGAGAACGAGCGTGAATCGCGCCTGCCCGCCCACGAGGGAGAGTATCATCGCGAATGACTCCATCCAGGTGTCGAGGTAGACGGTGTGCAACGCGAATTCGTACGTGTATAAGAACGCGTACGCGAACAGGCAACCGTAAGCGATCGCGCTGAGGACGTTTTGCGAATTTGTTCGCCGGATAATTCCGTCCTTGTACGATACCACACCCGAGAATCTCAGCAACATGACATTCGCGCGGATGACACTCGCGAACGGTTCGTTCGATACCATCCCGAATGAAATGCGACGAAGTCTGAATCTCGCAGAGACGTCGAATTGGAAGCGTGTCTTTCTTTTCGCTTGGAAATCGCCACAGTCGACGGAATTCGCGGACATCTATAGGATATCTATATTCGCGAGAAGCCTATAGGATTTGCACCTGCGCGATTCGAGCGAGGAGATCCACGGACAAAGCGCGTACCTTGTGATTATTCTCGAAATAAACTTCCGCGAAGGAAAGAGTTTTCCCGTGATACGTGACAATTTTCTTCCGCAAAAAACACCGATCAAACGAATAATTGAGCTCAATAATGAATAATTTGACATTTGTTTCAAAGTTGTGCGATGTCGTGACGATGCAGCATGCAATTCCATTCGGACACGAATGCAAAGAGCTACACTAAATATGAGTTTTCTACATTTTTGCTCTTCTCGCGTGGAATTAAAGAGAACTCGTGGATATGATCGAATCTGTAAGGTTGTTGCACTATGTGAATTTGATTTTTCTTTTATAATCATCTCTTTTTAATTTTTGTTATTCTCATATTGACAAAATATCAAGCGTTAGTGATAATCGTGTTTGAACTTATTAAAGAAAATTAGTGAGTTGATAAAGTTGATACGATTGATGACAAATCGATGACAAATATTTGATATAAAAAAGAGAAATTCGATATGTTTATTGAATTTATTAAATCTATTACATAATTATAAAATTCAATTAAATTTATTTAATTAAATTTATTTTTTTCTATTATATGTATTTTTTCTATTATATATTATATTATATTTATATTCTATTATATATCACGAGAAAAGACGCAGGAAATGCTAATAAAGCAACACCGATCTCCCTAACAAGTAATTATCTGAAAATAAAAAATTACCGGCAGCGAAATAGAGAGATATATCGATGATAGAACATCGACCTTTCTCTATAAATGGAAATAATATTTCTTATCAGGGAGGAAAATAAATCGATGACAAATTCAGTCGACGAAACCTAAATTATCAGGAAACTGATAAATCTAATCAATAATAGTCAGATAAATCGTAGAAAAATTCAAAACCTTAGTAAGAAACTCGCGACAAATAGACACCTGAACAAATTTTATTAATCTAAAACGTAATTGGGATGGATAAGATAAAGTAAATCGAATCAGGGATATAAAAGGGAAAGCTCGCAAGGAGTATCAATCACTTCAGTTCAGTCAATCAGTCAGTTTTATTGGTCACTTTAGATCAGTCAGTTCAGTTCGTCATTGGTCTTCAATTGTCCATCCTCAGTTTTCGTGATGCGAGTACACACTTTCGGTTATCGAAGCGCCACAAGGACCCCATCATCCTCGGCGCTAAAGATCAGGAACCCATTGAAAATCGCAACGCAATCATCACTAACATTTTTTTATTGCAAAATTGTAAATCAATCTGACCAATGATAAATTATTTTCTTTTCTCTCTTCTTTGTTTATAATTTATATTTATGTTTAATATTTTAAATGGCGTTGACTCTTAATGAAATCCTTGTTCTTTTCCTCCATCTTCTACACACACACAAATACACACACTTGAAATTTTGTTTTTGTGATTCCAACTATGCTAAAATTGTTGTAATATCCAGTCGAATATAAAAATAAAATTAAAGTCAATTCTCTCTCTTCGACTCTCTTCGATCTTCATATTAATGTAACTCGCGAAAAAACACACATACACATACACTTATTATACATGATACGTTGCAAATTAGATTAAATTATATTAAATCGGATTATAAAATTTAATTATATATTATTATTCTTTTACTTATATCTTAATTTAAAGTTTGATTTGATGAATAAATTTTGTAATAAATGTTTTCATTCATTAACTTCCAGGTTCTCATTCCCAGCCATTGAAGATCGCATTTAGACCCGCCCCGTAAAACGAATTTCCTTACCGAAAATGGGTCCAACGGACGAAACAGAGAAATAGCGACTCAAAAAGAGTCGTTTACCTGTTTCTCAGGCCTTAAGGGTCATTCGATTCGCCCCGAGTCCTCTTTTCGCATAACTTCGGAAAGATATTATTGTTACGCCCTCTTCTTTTGACCCATCCTTCCCCGGATCTGGACATAACAACATCTTTAATTGAATTTTATTGTGAACTTGAAATTTGTTTCTAATTTTTTTAAATTTTCGACTGTGTCTTAACTTATTAAATATCTCCTAACTAATTTTATTTTTATTTTATTTTATTAATTTTATTTATTTATTTTTAATCTTTTAATTCGAGAAATGATAATATGTCAATTTATTTAATTAAGAAAGACGAATGATAAGGTATGTAATATTGTAGTGCAATTCAACGTAATTATCGAATGTAGTTTATTTAGATCTCGAACTGTATTATAGTTTAAACTATGGGTGGATAAAAGCTGGTTAAACTGGATTTACTCAGCAATCAGTAACTCAAACTCGAATGCAAAGGTCTCCTATGATAAGTTAACTAACAATGAATAAAGAATCAAATACGCGTTTCGCTAATATTGTAATCTAAAATAGTAATTGAAGATATTCCATTGAATTGTAATTTATTTTATCCACTAATGTTTAAAAAATCACATCCACATTGAAAGATAGCTGTTATTTAGCTGATAATTATAATTATATTTCAAAAAAAAAGACGAAAAATAATGTATTTCATTTATCAATAAATAGAAGCTCAATTATTATTTTTAATAACAATACTAATTTTTAATAACTAATAATTATTAATAAAAATTTCTTAACAATACATATATATATTATAAAAATAAATGTTCAAATGCGATTAAAAGCCTCACTCAAGTAAATGCAAGGCTATGTCGGTATTGAATTTTGACAAATTTTTATGAAAAATATGAAATTGATTTATTTTATCCGAGGGCGACAAAATATCGATTTATTTACTCACCTGGTGATGTGATGGAGATTTCCTAGGTGGCAGCATAGCGATCTAACAAAATGCATTCGCGGCGCGACCGACTACGATTCGAAACCTATCGAATGGCAAAGTCTCTATGATAAGTTAACTAACAATGAATAAAGAATCAAATACGCGTTTCGCTAATATTGTAATCTAAAATAGTAATTGAAGATATTCCATTGAATTGTAATTTATTTTATCCACTAATGTTTAAAAAATCACATCCACATTGAAAGATAGCTGTTATTTAGCTGATAATTATAATTATATTTCAAAAAAAAAGACGAAAAATAATGTATTTCATTTATCAATAAATAGAAGCTCAATTATTATTTTAATAACAATACTAATTTTTAATAACTAATAATTATTAATAAAAATTTCTTAACAATACATATATATATTATAAAAATAAATGTTCAAATGCGATTAAAAGCCTCACTCAAGTAAATGCAAGGCTATGTCGGTATTGAATTTTGACAAATTTTTATGAAAAATATGAAATTGATTTATTTTATCCGAGGGCGACAAAATATCGATTTATTTACTCACCTGGTGATGTGATGGGAGATTTCCTAGGTGGCGGAAGGCTAGGTCGACCAATCACTCTTCGTGATACATCTCGAGAAGTGCAGTCGGTGATGAGCGCGTCGCGGTCAAGTCGCCATCGATTCACTTCGCGATTTCTCGCGCGAATCGCGCGAAATAACGAAGAGAAGACGAACCGGGAGTGTCTCGTGAAGCGGCGAATATTCGCGATGCATTCAACGTCGGAATCGCGACGTCGATGGGCCGGCTCGCTCGGGGATCTCGCGAAAATTCCGCGGCTTCCTCGGAAATCGTAATTTCCCGATTTACGTCATCGCGACGAGCGCGCTCACTCGAGCGCCGGCGGACGCGGCCGAGGGGAACCGAGCGCGGCCGAGGACGGCCGAGTCGGCGGAATCCATCGCGAATCGCGACAACAAGAAACATGGCGGCATTGCGCAGCTCCGTGAAACGTGAGGAGGTTGGAGCCAGGTAAACGCACGTTCTCACGCGTCGTACGATTAATCGCACGAATCGCGACGAATAATCGCGACACCCGCGAGCCGTTTGACAGCATCGGGAGAACGATTCGAACGCCATGAGCGCGCGCCACGTCGTGTGACAGCATGTGCGGTGTTTTGTGACGAAGGGAGTTCGCCCGTCGCGGCCTGAGGAATCTACCTGTTTACCTGGATATCATCGCACGCACGACGACGCGCGATTATCGACAGTATCTCTCCGATTTCCGCAGGTACGTGCCATTGTTTACATTGTCCCATCCTCTGACTTTGCGTATTGTTGCGCGACGAGGTCAACCTCGGTCTCGCTCCTTCTTTTTTCCATTTACATTCCACGTCCTTCGCGCTGCTTTATCGCATCACCTGATATCGAGTTACGTCCGATCGCGTTCGCGAAGTTAGTTTAGTCGGGAAGTTGTTGCCGCGAAATGCGCGTCGCGCGATCGAACTGTCAGAGCCGAATCTCGCTCGGATGCGTGATTCCCCCCGTGTTGTCGTATCGTCCCCGAAAGGGCATTGACTTGTAAAGCGCATTGCCCTCGAAAAAGAAACAAACGGCCCTTATCTCCCGGCGTTAACAACCTGACGCGTTAACCATCTCGTTTGTCGCGGATAAGGTTATGGCAGATATTGAGGTAGGCCTTGCGATATGTCGTCATGAATGTTGCGCAATGGCGATCAGATAACGAGTTGCCCAATTCGCTCGTCATTGCGCTCCAATTATCCCTGTCGATTGTTTTCGCGACGCAATACGTTCGCTGACGTTTCGCGACGCGTCTCAAGTTCAAATCGATTTACTCGCCGAGATATATATATATATATATATATATATATATATATATATATATATATATATACTTTATAGATGCGTAGTAATACTCGAGAATCGATTGAGAAAACATTCTGTGCCTGTAATAAACGCAAAGGTTTGAGAAACGCTCGAGGAATGCGATTTGAAAAGTAGGATAAGGCCCAGTTGCACCAACATTATTTTAGTTTTAAGCGAAACTTAAATATATTTCTGTCTTTATTTATTTAGAAATTTTATTTATTTAGAAATTTATTAATTTTTATTTATTTAGAAAGAAAGATAAAGATAGACATATATTTAAGTCTCGCTTAAAGCGAGCTAAAATAACATTGGTT